GCACGCATGGCGGATGGTCGTCTTTTCCAATTTCAACAAACTTCAGTCGATCGATACGGCAAAAATTTGTATGGTAAGCATGGTTGTTTTGTACATCGTCAGAAAGCCTTGGACCTCAGCTACGCGTAGAGCGCCATTTTAGCTGTCTCCTAGCAACAAGACCCCAAAAAAATGAGGGCCAAACGTACCGATACTATAGTATCGGTTCGCTTATGGTAGACCGGTAAAGGGTTAAGCGTGCGTATGTGACCCCATTGCACAAGGCTGGCGATCCATCTGTCGCAAACAATTTCCGTCCTGTGTCCCTGCTCCCAATTCTCTTGAAGCTGCTAGAGAAGGTGGTCCAGAAGGCACTTGTCACCTTTCTGGATTTGGCTGGTTCTCTGCCCAGCACACAGTTTGCATTCCGAACAGGACATTCCACGGAGGATGCCCTTGTGTTGATGGTCAACAGGATCCTCGCCTCAAGAGACCGCCGCATGTTCACGGGTGTGGTCCTCCTGGATATGTCGAAGGCGTTCGACAAGGTTCGCCACCAGCAACTAGTCAAAGATCTCTTCTGTGTGGGCGTCACAGGAACAGCGCTCCAGTGGCTCATGTCATACTTGTCTGATCGCTGCCAGATTGTCCAGCTGGGATCCCAGCTTAGCACAGTGGCAGCCTGCTCCTGTGGAGTACCACAGGATAGTAGGTCCACTGCTGTTCAGCCTTTACACCCGGGACATACCATCTGTAGCCCAGCAAGCTGAGTCCATCCAGTTCGCAGATGAAATCGCACTGACCTACAGTCACCCAACACAACAGGAACTGACCGCCACTCTCTCCAGAGCAGTGACATGCATTGCTGACTGGCTGAAGCAGCGAGGTTTGATCCTTAATGCATCAAAAAGTCAGGCATTGGTAGTACCGGCTGGGAAGCTAGAAGCGCAAACTGAACTGGACGTATGGTGTCATGCGACTAAGCTGCCATATGTCTCTTCTGCTCGCTACCTCGGAGTTCACATTGACAGCGCCATGTCTTGGAACACCCAGATGGATAGGTGCGTTGCCCGCCTCAACAAGAAAGTCGGTGTGCTGTGGCGGATGCGCCGCTGCCTCAGCATGCAAAGCCGCATCCAGTACCTCAAGTCTGTGATCATGCCTGATTTCTCATATGGCTCCAATGCCTTCTCAGCATCGCTGGCGGGTAAGCACCTGGACCGTCTCCAAGTTCTGCAGAATCGTGCGGCTCGAGCTGTGTACGGATGCTCGCCGCGCACCTCTGCCAGAAACCTGCTAGTCCAACTCGGCGCCTACCGTGTCCGGGAGATCTTCATCCAGAAGCTCATCTTCCTGGTTTGGCGCTGCCGCTACTCCCGTGCTAGCCCCACACGGCAAGTGCTGATGCTACCAAACAGTGGCGCTCCTACTCGGCTGCAATTATCTAAGGGTCTAAGACCACCGCCAACCCGCACTGAGTTGGGTAAGGGTTGTCTCGCGTTCCAAGGAGCTAGGCTCTGGAATGCGTTGCCCAGCGAGTTGCGGGCCATACCGCACCCGGCCCAATTTCGCACTGCTGCTGTTCCACACAGCATGAACCCTTGAGGTCAGACGGATCACTATCGCCATATTTCCATTATATGCCTGCCTGCTGGCCTGCCTGCCCGTCTCTCTCCCTGTTCTCTGACAACTTGCTTGTTAATTCGTGCGGTTGTTTTTAGACGTAAAGCCCTGTTGTATAGGTCTCAGCCCTCATTTGTTAGTCTCTCTGTCTCTCTCTCTCTCTCTGTCTCTCTCTCTCTCTCTCTCTGTCTCTCTCTCGCTCTCGGATCTCTCTCTCTCTCTCTCTGTTTTTGGTGGACAAACATATCGCTGGCGTTGATTGCTTTCTTGCTTCGACTTCTGCCGCGCCTTTGTTCTCGTACTGCCCTTGATGTACAAGTGTTGTGCTGACCCTCCCTTATATAGTCTGTCTCATTTTGTCCTGAGATGTTTTGATGCATAGTGATAATGACGCTCATCATTCGCTCCCTTGTCACTGGACAGTTCTGTCCGTTTGGTTTTAGCGAATTCAAATAAAGAAAACAAGGTAATACTTGCTACTAGTGTGAGTGGCTAAATCAGAGTGGATCTGATATTAGCTTCACCAGCACCATGATTACAGGTATGTATACTTCAAATAGAAAGTATATGAACCCTGGAACCAACAAAGGTGGTAGGTACAACATAATGCCTTCAAGCGGCCGAGCTCTGGCATAAGTGTACCCACCAACCGAACTAGCTGGCACACACACACAGACACACACACACATGCACACACACACACACACACACACACACACACACACACAAGTGTGATGTAAGCCTAACCTACTTAGCTGCCCCTTCCACATTTGTCCTACCATGTGGAAACGCGGTGCACGCCTAATCATTTCACCCATTGTGAGTCCCGATCTAGCCCAAACCTTGTCTTGAATGTCTGTGTGTGCACTGGGATGTTAAATAATGTTTAACCAGTGTTCAACTGTAGGCAGCCAAACCTACAAGCTCTCTGCTGATACTCCTACAGAATGTAAAAAAGATCGGTTCTAAAAAAAATGGGAGAAGCACCAACGTAACCAGATCTTGTACAGTCAGTGAGTGCGACAAAATTGCACAGAACTGACAAGGACTTCTGAGACATTCAACGAACTGACACCTATCTCCAACACTTTTCCGAGGCGCAAACCAACAACCTTCCAAATTGGAAGGCTCGGGTTAGGAAAGGTCCAAGATTGGAAAGAAAACACAATAAAGAAAAGAGCCCAAGCTATACCCCACGGTAACAAAGAATACCGAAGGTTATTGGGCGATGACGAAACTAGTATTTTACTGTCACTGCCGCGTTCAAGGCGGTGGATCCATTAGGTCCACCAACAGGTTCGCTCGTGCCGGATAGATTCAAGTAATTGAAGTATGAGATAATGATTATACTACCTCCGAAAAGCGAAACTTGGCGGGTTTTTTGATTTTGTGTTGGTACCACAACTTCACAAGGCTTTGAGGTAGAGGGGACGGCTCGATACCGGGACGTTTTGACAGCCAAATTTGTATAGACCCAAACCGATCATCAGCGTTGATTTTTCACTCGAAATATGTTTGTGGAAGGAAACTGGCATGTTGAAGTTTGCTCTGGGGCCAGAGTCAATCGAACGGAGCCACTCCTTTGTGTTGACCCATTGCCTCCAAGTTGCCCAATTTTTAGCTTAAAAAAAGTTCAAATCAGAGGTGGCTCCAAACCGGACACGTTTTAGAGTGCAAGTCAAATTCACTCTGGCTCTGAAATTAGGTAATTGCTATCGCTCCACGACGGCCAGTACAGAGTAACAATAAGCCTTGTGTGTGCTTCCATTAGTTTTGATTGGTATGCGGTGCTTTATTGGCGAGAGGTGAGCCGCTGCTTACCTGCGACAAGAAGTTGATTTTTCGAAAGTCGTAAAACTGAAGTCGCAGTGCGAAGCACCACGTCAAAAACTCACCTGCTGGATATGGCGCTTCTGGTCATCGCAGAGCCATGAAATTTTGACTCGGAGTATAACACATCGTAGTCTCACTGTGACATATGTTTTCTACTCAAAATACCAAGAGAGAAAGTGAATATTGAGTCCGTTCCGGTTTGCAACCGGTGTCCTATTTGAAACCGTCCCCTCTACGACCTACTTGTAGCTCCATGCGTTGCAACTGGGTGCAGGAAGACAAGAGATGAGCTGGTGATTGGCACATGGCTCAGAATTAGTCAGAGGCAGGCCATTCTCTCGTGTACCAGCACGACAGTGCGTGTGTCCATTCTGCGGAGGAGAATCGTTGTGCTTTCGCATTTCAATGCAAAACCAAGGGGTTCTCTCTCTCTCCACTTGGTCACAAAGCCAGCACAGAGTCCCAACGTCTATGCCAAACAACCCCAGCGTCTTTCGATAGCCTCCAGAGCGATGTGTCTCTGGTCACTAAGGAAAAGCGCCTGGAAATGCTACAGGAAAGTTTGGACAGAAAAGCTGGAGTCCAGGCGCTTGTGGCGGTATTGCACAGTTCCTACCACGTCAACCTGGATAGTGGTGACGGAAATGACTACCCTTGACATCGCGGCTCAAGCACAGCACACAGAAGCGACATCAAGATTTCCAGAGCGATCACAACAGAGGTAATTGCTGCAACTGAATCCGCTCTAGTCGCACTTTTGTCGCAAAAACAGGGACTATTACTCTCCAGAAGAAACTGTGATCTCTGAATCAGAGGGGAGTGAGTTTAGCCTGATTTATGTTTCTAATGTCCTTGTTGAGCAATACAAAGTTGTATTTTGGTGAGTCAATCATTACTTTTTATTTTAGAGTGTAAGTTATTTCGAGTAATTCGAAAAATTAATAAAAACGCACCAAGTTTTGCTTGTCGGAGGTAGTAATACTATCAAGAGTCCATACATGTTTATGCACTCTTGATACTATTGGACATACCGGTCTCACTACAACTCGGCATTCCTTGTTGCCGTGGGATGTAGCTCATGCTCTTCTTCGTTCCGCTTTCCTTCTAGAACATTTCCTAATCGGACCTTTCCAAGTTGGAAGCTTGTTGGTTTCCGCCTTGGAGAAGTGTTAGGGCTAGGTGTCAGGTCGTTGCATGTCTCACTACTTCTTGTCAGTTTTGTGCCATTCTGTCGCACTCACAGAATGTATATTATGATCTGGTTACGTTGGTGGACAGTTAGTCATAACCATTTGCCCTTCTCCTTTTTTTCTTTTTTCTTTTACATAAAAAGGGGGTTTGTCAACTGACAACTGCTCTATTTAGTTGCTATTCACTCTTTAGGTGAAAATTCTTTAATAACTGTTTTAACAGTATTTTTTCGGCATCATTAAAAAAAAAATTACTGACGTTTCGGGCCAGTCTCCCATCGTCAGGCAATGCAGTTGCTTGATGTCCACCACTCTCTGAACATCCGTTTTACCATAATTAAATTGGCTCACCATCCGAGAAACGTGCCCACTCACCATTGCAGCTTACTGGATTCGCCCACACACCGTGCGTAGCATTGTGTCCGTGGCAATTCATTGGAGTAGGTTTCGATGGACGATGCCCTGGATCACATTTGACCGATGCCGTTCCTGTAATCTGAGTGCTACTCGCATTGAATTGTCCATTCGTTATACTGAAATTACTTGGGCAATACCCAGAGAAAGCTAACAAGTATTGGAAATGGATTGACATCCATCAAGACACCGAGAAAATGAAAGAGAGCATGCAAAAGAAGACAAGAGAGAAAAAGCAGTAAAGGCAGAATACATTAATTTCTCATATCTATGGAATGGTGGTGTTGTTGATGGACTAGGTACCAATAGTCGGTGCTTGCAGAAAACCAGAAATTCCTCAAAATCTATGTTTTTCGACATGAATCACATCGCCCAGTTTCTTCAAGGTGCTTGAGCTTTGGGACAGACAAGAATGCAGCCAACACTCTCAGTCACTCTACGCAAGATCATAATAATACAGTCATGGCTAGTGAAATCCGACACTTGGCATAAGGGACTGCACCATGCAGTGTGCAGCCCTGCATACTTTGTACATGTGTTACATACAACTTTTATCTTTCTCATGACAGAAATCGTACTCATCACGGTCAAGGTTCACCTCAAACGTTCAAAGGTGCTGGCGAAAATAATTAATGGGGAACGCAATGGACTCCTGCGTGGCTTGCAGGACGAATATAATAGAATGTGTAGATCACGAGCAAGCACTAGAAAACCGTGATGTCACGCTGCCATGCTGATACAAGTTGCACAGGCACGCAGACACTGTGCACAAAATAGCAGAAGATCAAAATTCTGAAAATATTTCAAACGGTGAAATTCGAAAGTAGTCGAAAGAAAGTTCAAAGAACAAGGAAAATCAAAGATCTGTGCTGGAAGGAATTAAAAGCAACATTGTTATTGAAACCGGAGTCCGTTTTGCAACCTTCGTACTGGGGTTGAATATGGCCGTGCCTTCGAAGTTTATACGTGAAATCCAGAGATGGGAAAAACACTTTCCGTGTACATTGTAGTGGCCAAAAAGCCCACGAGGCGGATTTGTAGCAAGCCAGAGCACCTCGCCAAGGACTGCCCTGAGGCTCGTGCTACCACTGCCAGTACCGGCAGTACACAACAGTAACATCATTCAACGTCACCTCCATGAACAGACACTAAACGCACATGTCGACTCCTATCTGATATAGTCGCAAACCAAGCCCAGACAGCGTGGCAAAGTAAAGCCCAACCGCAATACTCAACATCCAAGTCTAAGCAGGCTTGTCTCCCAGCAGCTGACAAGAGCGACTCTAGCTCCTCTAAATCTGAAGAGTTGCCTTTTCCTGCTGATGCTTAATCATTAGTCGACAATGAAACTTATCCAAGCCGGAGAACCAATAGCCGTCAATCTAGCCCTGCGACTCCGACATGGAAGCCAAGAAGGCAGAAAGTGATTCATGTACAGTTCTTGGCCTACACGCTGGGAGGCCATAACGACGCTGATTCTGATTCTGGCAGGTGGGCAGTAAACCAGTCCAAGCATTCACGCCCTAGCGTCACACCTGACCAGGACCAGAGTGACACCACTACTGGATACAAGCAACGGAAAAAATGGAAACGAAAATCTCCTGAGAGTGGCCAACATGTCCTGCAGTAAGTAACGCTTTGATACACATTGACCTTTCATTCTTTGCACCCATGCCTAATTCTGCCATTCATCACAATACTGTTAAATGTTCACTCACACTCCTTTGAATTCCATCACACACTGCACTAGCACAATCCTGACATAGCAGTAGTGACGGAAACAAAGTTCGCCTCTGAAACTGTTCTACCATCCGACTCCACATTCCCTGGCTACACCACCTTCTGGCTGGATCGAACAGCACGCGGTGGCGGAGTCGCCGTATGGATCAGATCTACACTCCCAGTCATAGAAATTGATGAGTTATTTTCTCCACAGAACGAAATTATTCGGCTATTCATTCAATTGCCCCCAGGGCAAAATATAGTCTTGGGCGCTGCTTACAGGCTAGATTCGACAGGGCCTGGTGACCTTACGCTCATTAATCTTAGGGACTTCAGACCACGTGACTTCATGGCCCAAAAGCGTGCAAATTGACGCCTGCACAAATCGTGTGATGGTCATATGTCAAGTCGTGTAAAGAAATGTGGGACCGTTTTTCGAAATGAAAGAAGCCTTGTACATTTGGAGAAATTTTCGGTTCGTCTTGTTGAAGCTTGCCTTCGTTTGGGACCAGCAAGAATGGAGCTGTTACGTTCATTTTTGACAGAGATACGTATGCGGATGGAAGGGAAAGGTGAGAAACTATATGATCCGTCCGGGTCCCCTTCTTGAAAATTCGTATTCTACGCCCTCGAATTAGTCTGGATAGAAGGTAATCTTTATTGTTTTCACCTTCCAGAAGACCTATTTCTTGCATTATTCCTCTTTGTACTTTGCCGTGCAGCGCGGCCATAGTCAGTATGGAAAGCAGCGAGAAGTATCCTGCGTTAGATGATGCTGATGTACAAATTGAATTGCTCTTGGCTGTTTCGGTCCATGCCTCCATTCTTGTCTCCAATGCTGTTAAGCTCGATCTGATTGAGCTCGGCAAGAATAGCTGAAAGAGTGCCGAACTGGGAGATTTGTTGTGTTCTTGTTGCTTTTTTGCTGTATCTCTGCTGATGTGCGTGCTACGATTACCCCAGCCAATACAATGTCCTGTACATGTACATGCACATGTTGAACTTAGTCAGTGCCTCTTCCGTGATCATTCTTTTTCTTGACACCAATAGTCCGAAGCTATCTCAAGACTGTATTATCAATGTCTCCCGTTTCTAACCACTACATTGTAAACCATGCTATTCAGCTATTTCATGCGGAGAATCAAGAATATTTTTGGATCTGGTGTGCAGTTGCTATGCGTTGCTAAGGAAAGTGGGTTCTCTCAGTTTGACATATCTCTCTGATCTCAAATATGTGGGACGTTTGTCGGAAAAATCCGGTGATAGGCGACGACTATTTTGCTTGTAACTTTAGTTTCCTTTGTCCGATTTAGAAAAACTCAAGACCAAACTCCTCAGGAAGCTCTAACCTATCCAAAAAGCAAAACATAAGCCACAGAAAACCGATTTGAAAAAATGGTCTGAAGTCCCTATTAATCTTGATGACATCCTTCCCTCTGCTCGTGCACTTGGTACCAACCTCATACTATCAGTACGCCTAGAGGATGCAGTATCTGAACTCTATGAGTTGTCCTGTGGGGTCCCTCAAGGGTCCCATATAGCACCCCTTCTCTTCCTTATATATATATATCAACTCCCTCCCTAAAATTGTAAAGCATACTTCCCCCTATCTGTTTGCAGATGATGTCACCCTCCTAAACGTTCCAACTGGTATTGATTCCCGGGCAGACAACACAAGTATAATGTCCAATTACGACCTTCCACCTGAACACGCTGTCCAGGTGGACAATATAGACTTAAACATCAAGCAGGATTGTAAACATTTAGGGGTGCAGCTCAGCAGAAATCTTAAAAGTTCGATAATCATTTCAATATCATATCCAAGAAATTTCAGCCAAGAGTAAATATATTGTGCTGTATGGGTCGCTATATACCTTACCCCAACATTGGCTTGCTCTACTAATCATATGTACGCCCCACAATAGAATATGCGACCCCAGTCTGGAGCCTCACCCTAACTACTGCACAGCTAGCTATGTTTGATGTCCTGCAGGCTAAGGTGTGTAGACGGTTACTAAGATCAGTCAAGATGGGGATTTCTCTCTCTTCTCTTCTCTTCTCTCTTCCTGTCGGTGTCTTCCACTTCTGGGCCGGCATGGCCCATACTTCATGCGTGCTTGTTCCTGTTGTTTCAAATCTTTATTCTCACGATAGCCAGTGGCCAATAAGAGATAATAGTGTAAGAAAGGAGAAAGAGTGAGGAAGAATTGGGTGGGCAGGGCCTAGGGGTTAATGACTACTTAAGTGTACGGGCAGGGGTGGTCGCCACACGAGCATACAGAGTTGCGTACTTAAGTGTACGGGCAGGGGTGGTCGCTACACGAGCATACAGAGTTGTGCAACAGCAGGGATATCTCGGATTTGAAGGGAGTACGAGAAGGGATTTCACGAAGCTGGGTGGGCAGGCAATTAAAGTAATGAAGGGCCTTGTACAGGGGAGAATGGAGACAGCGGTCAGTCCGCGGAGTTGGCAAGTGCCAAGTACGAGAGCGACGTAAATTATACGAAGGTTGCACGTTGCTAGCAGTATGCAGCGAGAGTATATGTGGTGGGGCATAATTGTGGCGCAGAGAATGCGCGAAGAGTATATGTTTAACTTTAAAACGTGAAAATAATGTTGGCCATTTGATGCGATGCAAAAGGTGGGAGTGTTCTAAGTGTGTGTAAAGGGGAAGGTGGAGACATATTCTGGCGGCTTTCCGCTGGAGTCGTTCTAGCCTGTCAAGGGAAGTGTGGGACAAAGGTGTGAGAGCAGTGCTCGCATATGAGAATATAGGTAGTATGTATGTCTGATAGATGTGAGATAAAGAATCACTGGTGAGTGTAGACCTTAGTCTAAAAAGAATATTGAAAGACTTGAGTGATTTTTTGACTATGTATTCAACATGCTCCGTCCAACGGAGGTCATGCTGAAAGATTATTCCGAGGTGTTTGTGTTTTTGTGCTACGGTAAGCGGACTATTCCTGAGGGTGATCTGGGGTAGCTGTTCAGGGGGGCGGTTATTGTGGTAGAACGGGAGGATGACTGTTTTCTTTGTGTTAACCAGCAGGTGCCATCTTTGAAGCCAGTCTCCAGCTGCTGTGACACTCTGTTGTAGGTTTCGGGTGCAGTCTTGAAGAGTTCTCGCTATGGAAATCAGAGCGGTGTCATCTGCAAACTGGCTACAGGTGGTGCCGGGATTCTCACATGCATGTGGAAGGTCTATGGTGTAGACGAGGAATAGAAGCGGCCCAAGAACAGATCCCTGTTGTTGTTATGTCCATTGTGTCTTGCCGCACTCCGGCTTTGGCCGTGACCGTGATGTGTTTCCCCCTTTTCTCCTTCATCCTTTCTTTTCTCTTTTTGCTAAAAGCTTTCTTCTCGCCGTGACCACGATTTTTCTTCTTTTCCTCCTTTATTCTTCTCTTCTTTTCTCTTCTTC